TTGGATGACTGTGAAGAGGAAAGGGACCTGGGGGTGTTGGTTGATGCTCGGCTGAACATGAGCTGACAGTGTGCCCAGGTGGCCAAGAGGGCCAACAGCATCCTGGCCTGCATCAGAAATAGTGTGGCCAGCAGGAGCAGGGAAGTGATCATCCCCCTCTACTCGGCACTGGTGAGGCCGCACCTCGAGTGCTGTGTTCAGTTTTGGGCCCCTCACTACAAGAAAGACATTGAGGCCCTGGAACGTGTCCAGAGAAGGGCAACGAAACTGGTGAGGGGTCTGGAGCACAAGTCTTATGAGGAGCAGCTGAGGGAGCTGGGATTGTTCAGTCTGGAGAAAAGGAGGCTCAGGGGAGATCTCATTGCTCAACTTCCTGAAGGGAGGTTGTGGTGCAAAAGGGTCTGGCCTCTTCTCCCAGGCAAATAGTAGGACCCAAGGAAACGGCCAGAAGTTGTACCAGAGGAGGTTTAGGTTGGACATTAGGAGAAACTTTTTCTCTCAAAGAAAGGCAGTCAGGCACTGCAATGGCTGCCCAGGGAGGTGGTGGAGTCGCCGTCCCTGGCAGTGTTCAAGAGGCGCCTGGATGAGGAGCTACAAGATGTGGTTTAGTGCTTGTGGCACTGATAGGAATGGGAGGGTGGTTGGACTAGCTGATCTTGCAGGTTGTTTCCAACCTTGTGATTCTGTGATTCTGTGAAGACTCGCGTAATAGAGAATTGGAGAAGTTAAATAAGTAACAACGTACATATATAAGCTAGCTGTATAGCTGTATAGCAAGCAATTAAGGTTTGATAAGATTGTAAACCTGGAGTACCCAGCCAATGGGGAAACAAGAGAAGGAGGGAGGCAAAGGGGGGAAACGAGGTACAAAAAGCTGTCATTGTGTCATCAGGGCTGCTCCTGCTTGCTAGACGCCCGCCATTGCAATCGCGAATAAAATCTGCTTTTATCAGAGATGCCGTCCTGACAAAATTATTTGGATATTTCCAACAATCTGGGGGCTCGACTGGGATTATGATCGCCTCTTTGGGGGTCCCCCTACTGCCCTGGACAGGATGGCTGCACCCTGCTGATTTCAGCGGTCCTGTCTGGGTGGTGAGGTGACTCCTTGGGATGCCGATAGGAAATGGAGACTGTTGCAAAAGGACAGCATCTGTGTAAGCCAAGGGGCAGGCAGGCATGGATGGCATTGATCCCTGCAGACCCAGTAACTTCGTGCAAGGACCAAGATAAGGGAATTTAATTCTTGCCTTGGGGGTCGGTGGAGACTCTCAGGAGGGAGCCCCAAAAAAGGGGGGTATCGCTGTCTGTTGGTACTGATACCTTCTCGCAGTGGCCAGAGGAATTCCCTTGTAGAACTAATAAGGCACGTGGTGTAACTAAAGAGTTGTTACAGGAGGTTATTCCAAAATGCTGAGGAACCACTTGGTCTGTCAAGGAAAGTGCACCATCGAAAATTAAAGTCATAAAGAGAAGAGGAATCATTTGCTAATTTGCTTTGTCTCAGTGTACACAGGAGGTGTTTCAGCCTAAGGAGAGAACTCCTTTTTTAGTAACTTTTCTAAAACTTTAAACTTATCAGATTGCTGGGTCTGTGCTTGACTACCAAAGGCAGGATGGAAGTACCATGGTTTGGGATCCTGTCACTAAACTGGTCTGCTCAGTACAAACATAAAAGCGATCAAAGGGATCCATTTACTCAGGTGCAGGTGAGGAAGCTACTGTTAACAGCACTATTATTCTAGGACCAAGATTCAACCTACCTTGGATCAATCTTACATTTCCAAATTTACGTTATGAAGGGCTTCTGGTGGCTGTGTGGGGATGAGAGAGAGCTCGAAAATCTGCCAATAAATTGGAAAGGAGTTTGTAAAGGAGGATTTTTAGCACCTCCTGTAAGCATCCATCCTAAAGAACTCCCATCTGATATAGGGAGAACTACAAGGGGCCAATATCAGAATACAAGGAGAGCAGGAATCCCCAATATGTTAAGTAAAGACTCCGCAGGCAAGAGGAGGTGTCCTCCCTATCTAAAGTCGTACTACAGAATAGAATGACACTGGATTTGTTGACTGCAAAGGAAGGGAAAGTGTGTTCCATAATAAATCAAAGCTGTTGTGCCTACATAAGTGAAGTTTGGAAGGTCAAAAGAGATCTAGACAATATCTGGGAGCAAACAAAAGCCCTACATGAAGTGAGCAAGGATAATACCGACTGGGGGACAGACTTACTAACTGGCTACCAAATTTCAGATGGCTGAAGCAGCTTTTCTTAGCAAGCATTGCTCTACTCTCTGTGGTAGCTTTCACACCTTTAGTGCTAAGGTGTTCAGTGTGCTTATGTCAGAACACAGGGAAGGAATAGGAAAAATGGAAGAGGCACAAACTGAGACAAAAGGTAGAAAGCAGGGCCTACTTTCAGTAATCATTCAAGAGGAACGGGACAGTCTAGCAGATAGGTGTCTCTGCTAGATCAAAGAAAAGGGGGGGAATTGAGGCATGAAGGGGTTACAGAAGTAAGTTAAGTGAACAGAATGTGAACAAAGATAAAGGAAGTTTCAAACATATGGGTGTTGTAAAAGTAAGATAAGAGAAACTCAGTATAACTCTTCACAGCCCAAGGACCTTAGGCAAGGATAAGGGAAACCGCAGGACGGGCTGAAATCGGTTAGGGTAGCCCCTTGTGGGATGGTTAACAGTTGACAGTGAGGAAGACTACGAGCCCTCATCTACCTACAACCACCAGGAGAAGCCCCCTGCAAGGGCAAGGAATTAGGGCCATATGCAAAGGATTTCTCCAGGAACTCTGTTGAATATGTGTGAGCTTGACCTTTACATGTAACGAGCTTTTGCTTGTCAGTGTGCAAGCTAGAAGCAATCCCCCTTTCACCTGGTGCATGCGCAGTGCTGAATAAACACATACTGCTTCATAGCCAGTCTTACATTACAAGGGGGAATGGTTTTAAACTGAGACAGGGGAGGTTTAGGTTGGATCTGAGGAGGAAGTTTTTCCCCCAGAGGGTGGTGAGGCACTGGCACAGGTTGCCCAAGGAGGCTGTGGATGCCCCATCCCTGCAGGCATTCAAGGCCAGGCTGGATGTGGCTCTGGGCAGCCTGGTCTGCTGGTTGGCGACCTGCACACAGCAGGGGGTTGATTTGTGGAATCAAACTCTCTAACCCACATCGGGTTATAAGAGCAGATACGTTTTATTTCAGCACTGCGCCACACACTGGGTGCAAGGGGGATCGCTCCTCCTACCTTGCACACCAGAGAGTGTGGTCTTGATACACTTATAAGCCAAGCCATACATACCCAGCAATATTACCTAAGACCCATTGACATATTCATTACTTTTCCAGGAATTCGTTTACATACTGTCCCCCTCCCCAGTGCATGCACAGTAGCTTCCGTTGGATGAAGGCTTGACATCTTCCTCCCCATTTGGTGGTCATTCTGGGATGAAGTCAGATGTCTTCCTCGCCATGTCCTTCTGACCTTTTTCCCAGTTCTGAGCTCTTCTCCCACCCTGCATGCCTCAGCAATTTCTTATCCTGCTTATCATCCCTTTCCAATGTTTTCTTAGTGGCCCCTTTTCTACTGACTTGAGACGGCTCCCTTTTTTAGAATATGCTGGGGCCAGCAAAAGGTTAGACTAAGCAATAAATTCCCCTTGAGTTAGCAGAAGGTTAAACTAAGCGATGCTATTTGCAACTTCCTTTTGAGTTAGCAAAACCAAGCGATGTTATGGACCCCTTACATCTTGTATTCTTTAGCTTACTATCTCAGGGTTGAAACTGGATGAGCATTGTGGCCCTTTTCAACCCAGGCCATTCTATGATAGCCTCAGTCAGGTTATACAGTTTGATTCTGCACATCAGGGGGCAAAATCATTGTATCATTCTGGTTGGAAAGACCACTAAGGGCATCAAGCCCAATTGTCAACCTAATATAGGCTGGTTTGCTTAGTAGAAGGGATTGGTAGCTTAGTTTTAAGAAGCAATATCTTTGTTCAGCAAAAGGAATCCATAAGTGATAGTTCTTTCCATTTCAGCCTCAGTGGGTGAACTGTCTTGTTTTTCCTCAAAACCTGCACACTGGGGACATAATAGAATACTTTTATCTTCTGCCTCAATAATTTTGCCTTACGAGAAATACCGGAGTCACAATAGGACACTTATCTTTTGCCTCAAAACGTGCAAGGACATTTTCCTCAGCTTCCACATACATTGTTCCCAAAAAGTGGCTCCCTATGGCCTAATAGGCAATGGAAATCTTCCAAGCTGGGGAAAAGTGAATGAAAGCGAGTCACAACTTTAGGTGATGAAGATGATGGTGAAAAAGGGGAAGAAGTAGGTGGGCACTCGACCACACTAAATATCACTGGCCATGTCCAAAGGGTCATTAGCACCTAAATGAGACCTTGGAAATGAGTGCATATGTGTGCCAACGTCTCCCCCGAGCTCCTCTGCTCCAGACTGACCCACCGCAGTGCCCTGAGCAGCTCCCCATCACACCTGTGCTGCAGACCCCTCACAGCTTCTCTGCCCTTCTCTACACGCGCTCCAGAGCCTCACTGTCCTTCTCACAATGAGAACACAGCGCTCGAGGTGTGGCCTCACCAGTGCCAAGTACAGAGGAACACAATAATACCGACACGAGACAGGAAAATAACTGAGTACAGCCACGCAGATAAAGGACGTTGGGGGGACCCAGAGCCGAGAAAAGACCCCGCCCCAAAATGGCCGCCACCCGCTCCCCTCAGCGCAGAGTTCCCGCCATGCCCCGCGCACCTCCAGCACCACGGTGCGCATGGCGCCGCCCTCCGATAAGTAGGCGCGGGTGTCGGGGTGCTGCCAGTGCGCGTGCGCGGCGGCCAGCGCTGCGTGGCACCCCTGGGCCACTACCGCACCCAGCGACCACGAGCGGGCCAAGTCTCCCCGCAGCACCACGTACTGCACCAGCGCAGCCGTCGCCGCTCCCGCCGCCGTCCCAGGCGCCGCCATGCTGCTGTACGGGGAGGCGTGGTCGCGCATGCAGAGTGCTGAGAGGTACGGCGTCGCCATTTTGTTGTACGGCAAAAGTGAGGGCGCGGTGGTGACGTAGTTCCGGTGGCGCCGGAGCGCGAAGTTTGAGCGCTGAGGTGAGAGCGGGGCCCTGGGGCTTGGCAGCGGTCGGGGCGTCCCGGCTCCCCGATCCCCTATCGGTGGGGGTTCACGCTTTCTTTCACCCCACAGGTCTTCCTCGTGAGGGGTCCTTAGGCTGCTCGGCTCAGGCTCTCTCCCCCCGCCTCCCTGGGGGCTCCTTGTTTGCTGTCCTCAGGAGGCCACGCTGCTCTGTCCCACTGACCCCTCAGTGGGAATCCCCAGGCCCTGCTTCCCCTCCTTATCCTCCCGTCTCTCCCTTTATGAGGTCCCTAGTTCGCCTGTCACCTCCCTGTTCCCATATGGGGAGAGTCCGAGGGGTTCCTGTCACCTCCTTGGGGCTGGTGTAAAAGGGTGTATGAGGGTATGGGGATGTATGAGGATATATAAAGGGATGGAAGTTTATAACGTGCTATTTCATCCTTCAGGACTGCCCCTGTGTGAGGCCAGCCCTGGAGGCAGACCTGCCCCCAGGCTTCATGGAGGAAGGACAAGATGGTGATGGGAAGGAAAATGCCATGCATGGAAGATCTCTCACCGCTGCCTCCCAGGATGGAGGAGGGCGAATGTCTGCGGTCCCACTTGCACAGGGGAAGGTGGAAGGAGGGAAGGTGTATTCAGGAGATGGTGAGCTTGTAAAAGTCACTTTCTGCATGATATGCAGTGCTACAGACTTGGGACAGAGTTCAGTCTGGAGCAAAGGGGGCCCAGGGGAAACCTTATAGTTCTCTCCAACTCCCTGAGAGGCAGTTGTGTTGAGATGGGGATTGTCCTCTGCTCCCAGGTAACAGCGATAGGACCAGGGAAGGTTCAGGTTGGTATTAGGAAACGTTTCTTCTCCAAAGGAGCAGTGATGCAGTGGCACAGCTGCCCAGGGAGGTAGTGGGGTCACCATCCCTAGAGGTGTTCCAGAACTGTAGGGATGTGGCACTGAGGAATGTGGTCAGTGGACATGATGGGATGGGTTGGGGTTGAGCTTGGTGATCTTAGAGGTCTTTTCCAGCCTGTTTGATTCTATGATTTTGTCCAAGTATGTTCTTTCCCAGGAGCTTGGGACCAGGAGTGACACCCTGGCTTGTAATGTGTCCCAAATTTAGAGTATAGGCACACCAAACAAGCTGCTCTTGATTAGAAGTGAAACTAGAGGTTGCAGATCTGTGCAGGGCTGTGTATTTGGTAGCTTACTCTGCTTCTCAGGATGTTAGCTAGCTAGCATGGTAAATGCCTGGTCCTTGTTGGCATTCAGTCTTGGTGTTTAAAATTCTCTGAAGCAGGTCTTTGCCTGTCCTCTGCCCCTGAGGAGTTGCACGTAGTTTCTTTAAGTAACTATACTGGGCCAACTTTGGTTTGGGTCACACTGCAGATGTCTACTAATGACAGCTGGATTTTCTGAGCATGTGTTGCTGTTCCTTGCAGGGGTGTTGGGTTATCTGGAAATGCTGGAGGCACAGGCTCATGAGTTAGGCCTGAAGCAAGAAGAGAAGGAGCAGCAAGAAAAGAAGCTCAACAGACTGAAAGCCAGAGTGCAGGAGCTGAGAAGCCGGAGGGATGAGCTTCGAGCTAAAGTGGAGCTGCAGGAGAAGAGGGTGAGAAAGGGCTTACTGCAGAGATCTGACAGAGGGGCTCTGGTATGCTCCTGCTCTCACAGCATGGATTTACTGAGGTTCTTAATTTATTTTCTCTTTTTAAGTAATGTACAGTTCTGGCATCCCCTGTTCTCAGTACAGTGTTGTCCAAGATTGCTGGATCTTTATGCTTTGAGCTTGTCTGGCCATTTATGAGCTCTTTTTCCCTTCTTCAGCTTGAAGTGCTGCCTCACATTTCTCAGAGCTGGGTTATTTCTCTGTAGCTCGAGTGTGTTCCCTGCAGGTGACGTGTTTGGTGTCGTCAGTTCCTGACCTGTCTCATCTTTTGGCTTTTGTAGCTTCTTGACAAGGAAGGAGTCGTGACAGATCCAGCACGGCCCAGTGCCCAGACTGTTCTGGAGTGGAAAGTGAAGAGCATTAAGGCCATGCTGCAAGTCTTTTACCTCACAGGTAATGCCTCAAGGCTTGTGTGAGTTCTGGCTGCATTTTTGGGGTGCTAAATTTTGAATGATGAATTTGATGTCAAGTGCAATTTCCCTATTAATGTTGCTTGTGTTGTGCTTGAAGCCTTCAGTCTGAAAGCATAGGAAGAGCAGTAATGTGCTGCAATTCTCTGCCTCTCTGGGAAGGCTTCTGGGATTTTGCAGAAACTCTTGCTTACTGAGCTGCATCATTTGGACTAAGATCTAGATTTGAGGAAGCATGTGAATGCCTTAGTTTTAAAATCTTTGGGCATTAGGTTAAATATTCAAGGGTCTGGGTCTTCCAAGCAAGCTTAGAATGCCAGCATCCTCTTTTCAGCTATTCCTGAGCTTGGTTTAATGTATTACTTTTTTTGTTTCCAATGCAAGTCACCTTTGCACTCTGTTCCAGTCACTGGAAGGAAGGACAGTGTGGAAATACAAGTCTGATGTTGGTGAGGTTGGGTTGAGCCCATGAGCCCTTCTGCCATTCTTTATGGGGCAGTTTTCTTTCACCTAGGGCAGTTCTGCATCGTGGGAGCCAGGACTGAGTTTCAAGTGCCAGCGCAGCTCAGTTAGTGACAATTTAATCTGCTTGAATTTATCTGATGTCCCTTTCTAAAAAGCTGCTGTGTTTTATGTCCCTGAACTCTTGCAAGTCCTTCATCCTCCCAGGGACCTCCTCAGGCCACCATGCTGGGAGCATACAGCCCCTGCAGCCTGTGCTGTCCCAGCAAAACTTCCTTGAGGTGACAAGTTTCTATTAGTGCTCAGTAAAACCTCTCTCTCTGCACCCAAGGGATCAGTGGGAAGCTGACCAAGCAGGGAGTGTGTTTCTGCATCAGCACTGCTTATGAAGGCACCTACCTGGATTCCTATTACGTGGACCTCCTCATCAAGCCAGAGGTGAAGATTCAACGCCACTCTGTCCCCGTCTTCATCCCACTGGAGCAGATAGCCAAGAAGTACCTGCAGACGGACATCAGGCGCTTCCTGTCCGTCCTGTGGGAGCACCTGAATGCTTATGCTGGGCGGAGGCACCAGGCAGACCAGTTGGAGGTACCAGTGGTCACAGCAACAATGCTTGCCCACCTTTTTGCCTTTTATCTGCCAAAAGTTAACGAGTTTGCACAGCTCTGGAGTGCTGGGGGAAATCTGAGTGGTTTTCTTTACATGGAGCGCTCACCATTCTGGTTTTCAGAGCACAGCAAATGACTGCGTGACTATCAACTCCATTGCCTGTGTCATTGGTATGTGTGTACTTGGATGTCTTGTGGCTCGTTTAAAATACACAGCCAAGTGCAGCTGTCCTCTTCCTCTGAGTCCCTAAACTGAAGGAGCTGTGCTTTTGTAATATGCCTCTGGAAGATGTGACTTAAAGATGTGAATGAGCACTTGTTTATTTCAGACTTTTCCTCAAGGTACAGCCACATCAGGGCATGCCAGCCTGGTGCAGGGGGTGGGGGCCCTGTCCTTTGTTAGCTCCCAGCCCCACGCTGATGCACTCCTGCCTTAGCTTTGTCTTTCAGAAATTGTTTTTGTCCCTACAGGAGCACTTTTCAGACCACATAGAAGGAACTCTGCAGAGGAACTCTTTGTGTAACTTGCTGGTCTTTAATTACACCGTGTCAAGTGACAGCAAGACCTTTCCATTCAACGTGAGGCTGCTTTATGGAGACCTCTGTTGCTGCCTCCCTACTGAAGCCATCATTTCTTGTACACGTAAGTGGGCAGTGCAGGTGTCTGGGTGTGTGGGGAGGGCAGGCCATATTGCAGTGGATGAGGTTTTCTCTAGTTTGGTTTGGGGACAGAAAGAAGCATGCTGTCATATTTCTTTGGGAGGAAAGATCTTTTCTGTAGCATGGGGGTCAATGGCAGGGAAATAAGATCTTATTATCATGAGAAATTTCTTTCAGTGCAATTAGTGAAATGATTAATGTGAACACTGAGGCCTGCTGTTGGGATGTTTCAGACTCTGCAGCCAGGCCCTAATTGGCCACGTTGTACCATCAGGTATGCTGGCACATCCTGCCATACAGCAGCATAGATGGAGGCAGGAGGAAGATTTACAACCTCTTCCAAAGTGCCAGTGGTATTGTGAAATGCTCCTAACAAAGATCTCTGCCTGGAAACCTTTCCTGATACCACTTATTCCCCATCTTTTGAAGGATTCTCCTCGTGTTGTACAGACTGGCTGATACTGAGTGTCTTCTGCAGCCTTAGCAATATGGCATGGCTTAATCCTGATCTGTGCTGTTTTATGACTAATTCCTGCAAGTGCCCAGCTGAGCTGAGGAGGCATTTTCCCATCTCTTCCTCGTGGTTGTGCAGAGCTGTGGGCCCACCTGAGCCACCTTGCATCCCATTCACCTGCCCATGTGGGCTGGCTAGGCTGCAAAGCTAGATGGAGCTCTGAGCAGAGCAGCTCGGGCTTGTAATCATTCTGCCAGCAGTCATGGTCTGAGGCCTCCTTCTGGTAGCAGAACCCAGCTGTGACACTCCTTGGGTTGCAGTTAGGCTGCAGGAGGAATTGTGCACTGATTCAACGGCTCCTCCTTTCCTTTCCCCACAGAAATGGCCCCTTTATAGGTGAAGTTCTGCCCTTGCTCAAAAACATCAGTGTCTTTTGAGCTGATAAGGCAGCTGGGTAGCTGTGGTGCTCCAACACCGCTGTCCCCTCACGAGCAGCCCTTCAGCTCTCAGTGTTTGTTGAGCTGTTTGTGCTCTCTAGCAGTTCGGTTCCCCTGGGGGAGATGCAGGGTTAGGAAGGAGAAAGAAGGGTTATGAGAAGAAAAACTGTGGCCAGGCAGGAAACACCCTAGGGGAAAGGGAAGAATGAGAAGCAAATAGTTTTATGCTGGTAAAACTGTGTTCCTCTCCCCACTGATGCGTCTACTTCTGTCTCCTAGCTGGCACTCTTCCATTGCTAGCAAAGATGGCAGCAGCTCACTCAAACGCTTTTCGACAGACAGCTCTGCACAAAGCCTTCAACTCTATCATCAATGCTAAAGAAAGCCTGGACTGAGCACTGTAAGCTACCTTGACTCCTCAGTAACGTGCCTCTCCTGACTTCTTCTGCCTGTGGGGAATGCTCTCAAAATGCAAATGTTTGCCATGGACTGCGGCACTGCTGCTGGGAACCCCCCAGAGGAGCAATTGGCCCAATTTAGATCTTGAAAGCAATATTTTCTTGATGATTTGGGGTGTCTATTGCAGGTAATCTTTCCTCAGCACTCTGCTTCTCGCTTGTCATTTAATTCCTGCTCGTGATGCATCGCAGTGTTTGGTGCCCCGGAGCTCCACAGTCATGGAGAATGTCTCACAATTAGAAGGAGAAGCTATATTAAAACATCAACAGCTCGGAAAACCTTCTGGAACAAGAACCCTACAGCTCACTGCATGTATCCAGGCAGCAGAACTCAGCAGGGAGCAAGTGGAGTAATCTGTGCCCTCCTTCTAACAGCCAGGAAAGGACTTCCAGTTAGAAACTGGTACAGGCTGGAGGACAACCTGGATTGTTATGGCAATCACTGAACCTTCCCTGGACAGAGGTGAGGTTTCATTTTGCCAGCAGCAGGCTGTGCCCTCACGTGGGCTGCATTAACTCAGCACATTAGCAGTGAGTTTTCCAGAAGATTTCACACCAGCGGTGGCTTTGGACATCCTGTTTTCTTCCTGTCGTAGCAGAACTTTCCTGGCATCCCATCTTTGTGCTTCCTGCAAGTTTGGATTGGATCTTGAAAGCTTCCTGTATTTTATGAGCACTCTTTCAATGTGTTAATTTCAGTAACATAGAACTTTTACTGTGGTATTTTTAAGAATCTCCTATTGATTTTTTTTTTTCTAGACTTATACCAGATGGCTGGGACATCAGGATTTTCTCCTGCCCCGTTTTTGTGCCAACACTGCATGTGCAAACTTCATAGTTTGTTTTTAAATTGTCTCTGAAGCTTAGGCTTTGTCCAAACCAACCTTTTTATATATAACCTCTGGTGTTCGGATGTTGCAGCTCCAGGAAAAATTCCCTGATGACCCTAGGAATTGAGTAATGGGGTAGGGATCAAAATCTTGTATCATTCTATCTGTGATTTCCAGCGTTTTGATACTCTGCGACAAGAGAAAGGAGCAAAAGCCACCAGAGGCATCAATCTCCCCTTTGGGAGCCCCTCCAAACCCAGTATCCCCTCAAAGAGGTGGTGAAGCCCTTCTCAGTATCCCCACAACCCCAGAACACAGCAGACGCAGAACCAGGCTTTGAAATTCAGCTTTCTATTCAAGAAACTAATGGCATAATTACACTCTGTGTGCCTCCCTTCCCCCCTGGCCCTGGCAGCATCACGCTGAATAACGCAGTCCCTTCTCAGCCAGTCCCAGGTCCTCTTTCCCATCAAGCAGTGACAGCAGCTGACCACAGCGTGCGTGGGGGGGCGAACAGGCACAGTTAAAAATATAAATGTCAATCTGTACTCTTATGTATATATATTTATATATCTGAAATACGCAATATTCTGTGTTTTTGTTTCTTTTTCTCTGAGCCCAAGGTGGTACTGCACTCTCTCTCCCCGATCTCCTAACTATGTTGTTTGTGACAAGGATGAACTCGGTATGGACTAACAGCAAAGCCCGGATGCTCCTGTGTGTAGGAGAGACGTGTCTTTCCATCCGACCCTGAGTTTGGATCTCCTTGTGCTGAGTGCATGGCAGCTGGGGCCCACAATGCTACTTGGATGCCATACTGCTGCCCTCCCCTGCAAAGCCTGGGGTGCCTGGGGAAAGGCAGCCCCAACCCCACACCCACTGAGGGCTGTGAGCTTGTGTGCAGGCACGATGGAGCAAAGGAACTTTCCAGCAGGGACTTGGAAAGGGTTGTGCAAAGGGGTCGATTTCTCAAGTTTGGTTTCAGATCCAGACCTCAGTGGGACAGATGTCCCTGCCGGCTGTGGTGCTGGGCACTGGGCCCCCCTGGCCACCCCTCTGGGTGCTGGGCAGACGGTGGCTGTGCTGGCTGGCAGGCGCCAGGCCCTCAAGAGCTGTCCACCACCTGATGGGGCAGGGTGACGGATGAGCCGTTGACGAAGGAGCCCTGCTTCTCCCGGCCCTTGAGGAAGAAAGTGAGCAGCTCCCCTTTGCCCTTGACGTAGATGGCCCCACGGCGTACAAAGCGGAAGCCGTACTCCTTCAGGATGAGGTGCGTCTCCTCTACCACCTGCAGGGACGAATGGACACAGTGGGAGGCTGGGGAGACCCTGCCCAGCACACAGCACAGGTAGTGTGGACCCCCGTGTGCTGCTTGGGCAACAGGTTACCCACCCACCAAGCTGTCCGTTGTCTTGAGGTGCCCTGCTTTTAGCCCCCTTGCCCAGTTCCCAGCTTAGAGGAGCTGTCAACTACTCCCAGCCCTGCTGAATACTGCTGGCAGTGCTTTCCCTTCCCGTGCAAATCACAGTGCATTTCAAGGGCTGTGAACGCTTCTGAATAATTCTCAGTTTGTCCCCTTGGTTGCCCAGGTCGTGCTGTCCCACCTGTATGTTCCCCATCACACCAGTGGACTCCATCCTGCTGGCCACGTTCACTGTGTTGCCCCAGATGTCATAGTGTGGCTTGCGGGCACCAATGACTCCTGCTAGCACGGCTCCCTTGTTCATGCCTGTGCAAGAGCAGGGTGGGTGTCACCTCTGTGCTTGGTGACATCCAGATAGCACACCCAGGGTCTGCTCTGGGGGACAGGGCATGAGGTCACCCCAGGCCTCATGTGGTCCCACCGCTCACAGGGAAGGAGGGGAGAGCCCCACGTCCCCAGACTTGCCTATGCGCAGCATGAAGTTGTTGAAGGACTGGTAGTTGATGTTCATCAGTGTCACCTTCATGGCCAAGGCAAAGTCGGCGAGGTCAGCTAAATGCTGCCAGCGCTCCTTATCCGAGAGGGTCTCCTTCTGCAAGAGCAGTGGGTCAGGAATGCCCCCCTTGCCCACCATCCCCGGCCACAGGGACCCCTTACCTTGGTGCTGTAGCCGTTGGCGTTGGCATCAGGAGTCACTCCAGACGCGGCCATGTAGGTGCTGCCGATGGTTTTGATTTTGGTGATACACCGGAATTGGGGTTCGTCCAGGAGCTGAGCCATGGGGATAGATCTTCAGGCACCTGAGGCTATTGGCCACAGCCCTGTGTTGCCCCCATGACCAGCTCCAGCCCAACTCACTGCGTCAAAGTCAGAGATGATCTCGTTGAGGAACCGCAGGCACTCGATGCCCCCGTTGTTGATGCTCTCCTCTGTGTAGAAGTCAGCAAAGTTGGGGAGAGAAGCAAACATGACGCCGATCTCATCGTAGGACTGGCTGTACAGCTCCTGGGGAGGGGAAGGACAGTGGCTGTCAGCTGGAGCTGTGGCTATCAGATGGAGATGTGCCTGCACCTCCAGCGAGCCCAAAACCTCCAACCCCAACCCTCCTCCATCTGAAAAAAATAAGGGTGCTCAGCAGTCCTCCTTTGCAAGGCCAAGAAATCTCCGTCCAACCAAAGATGTTTGACTAGAGTCTTTGGCAACCTCTCCAGATACAGAGGCCATGAACAAAAAAAAAAAAATGGGTTGAATCACTACATGTAACCAGGATTCTTGGGGATGCTGCTTGTGGGACAGAAGGTCTGTGTTCCTGGGTGCCCCCTCACCTCGTCCCGCTTCTTGGAGCCCAAGAAGTGCCGGGCCACGTGCTCAGGCAGCATGTTGGTGACAAGAGCCTCGTTCCAGCGCCGCATCTCATAGACTCTCTCCTTCTGGTCGTGGACATCGATCTTCCAGAGGAAGAGTGTCCTGGCCAGCTTTTCTACCTGCAGGCAGGGGGAGATGGGTGCAGCAGGGCCTCACCAGCACTAGGAGCATGCCAGCTGGTGTGGGGCTGATCCAGGCTTGGATGGAGGCTATGGGGCAAGGTGAAACCGTAATGGGAGACATAAGACCTCATGTGAAGGGCAAATGGGACCTTCATGGGGAAAGCACAGGCTCTAGAGCCACAATGATGCTGCCTGCTCTAAATCTTATGGGGGCGATGGAGGTGCCAATGTAGTTCTAGGTTTCCGTGGAGAAGAGCTGGAGGTGGTTCCACAGTTGGGGACCAACCGTGCTTTGTTGGAGCATGCAGAAATCAGGCTCGGGGCTGTAGTAACATCACAGAGAGGAAGGAAGAAAGGGGCCTCCTAAGGGGGCCGAGTCACTCACGTGGCGAGAGAAATAGTAAAAGCTGAGCATCACGATGAAGATCATGGCTGTCATGGAGTACTTGGAGGGGACCAGCGAGGACCTGCTGGAGGATGTGGCAAGGTGTAGGTGGGTGGTGAGCTTGGCCATGCCCCCTCACCATGCTCCTGCCACCCCTTACATGCTCTGCTGGCTGCGGCGCCGGTCGTACTGATCGAAGATGTGCTCCCAGGCGTAGATGTTGACAGTGCCGGCTGCCCCAGTGATCAGCACCATGAGAGTCAGCTTGACCATGTGGCTGACCTGCACCAGCATGATGGTGGCCACCAGGGCCAGCACGGCGATGTAGCTGTAGTACTTGGGCTGCTCCCAACAGCCACCTGGCCGTGGTGGCACCACCGTCCCGTTGCCTGTCCCACTGTAGTCCTGCTGACAGCTGAGCTGGGGGCATGAGGGCAGGATGAGGACGGGGGGCAGGGAATGATGATGTCCCCCCAAGAGCTGGAATACTTTGTGGGAGAGTGGAGGACACCCCAACTGCCAGGTGCTAAAATCCTCTCCAGCTTCAGTGCAGCCCTCATTGATTTAATGATTGGCTGTGTGCATGGGACTGTGCACAATTATGGACTGCTGGGACACAGAAGGTCAGAGAGGGTTCCTGCGCTGGCCCCATGTCTCACCATGTCCACAATATCAGCCATGGTGACAATGATGATGGCAGCCATGGCCCAGGTGTTGCGTGCCCAGCGAGTCCTGTCAATCCAGGTGGAGAAGGCCACGAGCTTTTTGGGGAAGACCTGCCGGGAGAAGACAAGGGACTTCACCCAGGTGGGACACATCATCACGGTGGCCATAGAGAGAACAAATATTGGATAATGGAGTGGCACAAAATATAGGTGGGAAAGGTGTTGGGGGAAAGAGCAGCTCCCAAACCTCACCTATCCTCAGTATCCCCACCCCCTGAGGCTGCCCATCCCGCTCTCACCCGGGGAAAAATGGCAGCCAGTGAGCAGAGGGTAAGGATGAGCAGCAGGATCTCCCCCACCACGAAGGTCACGTAGTTGGCCACCAACCTGTCGCAAAAAAGACCCAGGATGGGACAGACCTGAAGCCCTGCAGGGCTGAAGGTGAGCTGGGGCAATCCATCCCCAATGCCTCCCCAACATACCAAGGGTCGATGAAGACCTCCACCAAGGCAGTGAAGAAAAGGACAACACAGGAGCAGCTGAAAGCAGCACCACTCTGCTTCTCCTTCTCCACTGAGTAGCGCGTCTCCATCTCAGGGTCAATGAAGCGCATGGAGAGCCGGAAGGTGCTCTTCCCCTTCAGCCTGCCAGCAACATTGGCCATCAGCACCCAACAGGGCTGGGCTGGGTCGCGCCGCCGGCTGGGTGACTCACGCCTGGACAGACTCGCGCTCCAGCAGGGCCTCGTTGAGCAGCTTGTTGAGCTCCTGCTCATTCTGCGACGCGTCGATTACCCGCTCAGCCAGGTCCCGGAGCCGCAGCCGGCGCCGCGGATTGGGGAAGGATGGGTTCACAGCCTGCGCCACGAAGCAAAGCATCAGTGGGAACGCTGAGGCCATCATGGTAGTCTCCAAAATACAAGCTGAAGGGGGTGCTTCCCACGCACCGTACCTCTCCATCCTCCTCCCCATTCTCCAGGGTGCCCCTCACCCTGGCGTCGGACTCATCGGGTTCCTCAGGGCTGGTGCGCGCCAAGCTGGCACTGCCGTTGCGCTCCTTGGTGTTGATGAGCAGCGGGGAGCCTCCATGGGATGAGGTCAGTGACAGCTTCTGCAAGGCCGAGGCGGTGGCTCACATTGTGCCAAGGATGTCTGCTGCGGTGGCACCGGCGCCCACGCCGCTACTCACCACCCCATTGATGCCGTTGCGTAGAGGCTGCTTGGGCACCACGATGAGGTAGGTGACAATGCCCTTCTCCTTCAGGTACTCGCAGCGAGAGCCACCCTCGCCTGGCTCCACCTCGAACTCGCCCTTCAAGCAATCCATGGTGCTCTGTGAGATGTGCACACGCCTGCGGGACACGAGGTGCCGTGAACCGGGGCCACCCTTATGGCTATGGGATGGTGACACCACGTCTCATCCCTACTGAGAGATGCTCACCCAGGGATGCCACCTGCCTCCATCTTGTTGGCCACGGTGACGTCGGTGGACCACACGTCGTACTGCCAACGCTTCTGGCCCAGCACGCCGCCCAGCACCGTCCCGCTGTGCACTCCCACACGCATGTCCACCGCTGT